AATTGTATCAGACATGAATGTCTTAGTAAAGCTTGATTTGCACAATACTTTAAGGGAAAATAATTATTCACCATGCACTTTACATACCATAAACTGCTCTTTGACCTGTAGAAAAGGAGAAATCAGATAAGGTTTAATGAGGCAATATACATTGTACAAACTTTAACCTCTTAATCCATAAAAGTAACAAGCATCTAATTTCTCCTTGGCTCATATCATCACTCCTGCATTTAGAACTGCCTTTGTAAAAGCAAAATCAAGACCAACTTAAGTAGCATCTTTTGGTAAAAATGACAGTCACACCTGATGTGGGCTCTCCATAACAGTAGCTGGCAACAACAGCCTCCACATCCTGGTAAGAAATCCCTGCATCATTCAGAGCTGCTGTCCCTGCCTCTCGAGCCATATCTGCTGATACATCCTTGGAATTAATGACTGACTGACTGACTGTTTATTAAGACTCATTCCAGCAATATACAAAATGGCTGAATTACAGAGCTATTTACAAAACATATAATACTAAAATGTAATACAATAAATCCAATATTACTAAAAGGCATAATTATACAAGCCAGTCTAGGTATACTTATGTGTGACAAACTCTTGCATGTCCTTGGTCCTACAAGTAGGACGCATGGAGCGACTAATGCCAGATCTAAGATTATAATTATGCACAACCTCTTCCTGTTTAGCATAAAATGCAACCTTGGGGTGAGTCTCATTCTGGAGTCTATCAATATAAACCTGGCATAGATGGGCGCGTCTGTCACTTAGATTTGTTAAATTAAAGACATTTAATGCCTCGGTATAATTCATCAATGAAAGGAAAAATGATGACCATAGCCCATTTCTGAAAGCTCTCAGAAAATCTGGTATAATCTGCCAGACAGGGAGATGATGACTTTTGAGAGAAAGGGCTAATATCAGCTAAAGAGTCAACCTTAACTCTTCTGATCCCTAAAAAAGACTAGCAGCTAATTTCTCACTACAATATCACTACTTGAATCAAACATAAAGGAAAGGAGAATAAAAGACATGATCACNTCGGTAAAATAACGACACCAGGAGCAAACAACACACGTATAGAATAAGGTAAGCCATTTTTATTTAATATTTTCACTTTTAACTATCTCCATGGATATCTTGTTGAAAATCCCATACAAATCCTTATAAATCGATAAGCAAATTGTGTTCCTTGTGTGGTTCTTAAAGAGAGCTTGGGCCGCCTGTGTTTCCACGAGTCATTATCAACATACCTGGATAGTCCCATTTCTTGGTGAAAGGCTTTTCAAATCTGAAAGAAAAAAAAGAATTTCCAAAATCCGTGAGAGTATGAGAGAGCGTGACTTGAAAGAGAATTGTCAAGATCGCATTTTGTGCGTTCGTTCAAGCCTTTGGGCAAAACTAGAGAGTATAGTACCGGATCACTACCACCAAACGAGCCACCTCGTCGGGCCAAACGACCCATTAAATACATAGACTTAAGACTCGACACGCATACAGTTTATTCTTCGTTATTTAATCCACTGCCGAGCCAAACAGGCTACTGGATGGATGGATGCTCCTTCAAATTAAAAGTGGCCTTGTACTCGCGCTCAGCTGAGAAAATGTGTAGTTGCTCGCGTTTGACTGTTTATCGCAGCTTACTTCGTCATCCCTACACCAACAACGAAAACTTGTTCTTTGGCTCTTCTCGTTCCTGCCATAGTGGATCAGCAATGAGAATAACTTGCTGTACATCTGTGAGCAAATAACTCCAAGAATTTCCAAGAACTTCAAGGCTTTTTGTTTTTAACACTTTTCATCATTATGTTCATATATGCCGAAAATTACCGTCCATTACGTCACCTACTCTACAGGAAGTGTCTCGCTAGTACACAGGCTATGGTCGAGCGTTAGATCTCGTTTTGGTCAGCAGATCTAAAATACTTCGAAAACACGCCCAGGTTCTATAAGGTAACATACTCGAAATACATCTTCGAGTCGCATATTGTGCAGCTGTCTTTCCTCTCGGAAAAAAAGCAAAAAAATAAAAATATAAGAAAAAAAACAAAAAAAAGCAATGACAGAAATGCGAAGACTACTTCCTCCATTCATCTCATCTCATGAATTAAGACATTTTCTTGACTTTCCTTCAATCCAAAACCAGCTTTTATTTTTATTCATTTACTATTCCTTCCAGACAATCCCCGACAGCGCCTCTTTGCACAACTGCTTGCTGAAACTCCATTTAAAACAGAGAACTCCTCTGCGCTCATTAATTCTTAATTCTGAAAATTTTCTTTCAATTGTTAATTATAATCGTTTTGTACAACGGGTCAAACTTGTTAAACAATAACTGCTGATTGAAGAAAAACGCCCCACTAACTGGACTTTGCCTACGACGCGACTTGGATCGTCAGCTGTAAACAAAAATTGGACCAAAATCATATTTTGCGTATACCTATCAAGGCGTGTTGAACTGTACTGACCGGTCGTGAATCTGAAGTAAAATATGGAAGTTTTACCACTACAAAACACTGGTGAGTACCGTTAAAAAAAAAAATAATAAACGGCATAGAAATCGATTTACGATCGACGTATTTTAGGAAACTACCAAAATATCTCTGGGTTTCGACTCTTTGTCAGGAACGCTTACTTTGTAACAAAACGAATACAGTATGTCATCTTCCTTTACGAGTCACTTAGTTGACTGCTATCAAAATTCATTTGACGAAGATAAATTAACAACTGCGATATCAAAATTGCTATTAGCAATAATAGAAAAACTGAATATTTTGTTCGGGTAAATTGAGCAAATATAACTATATTCCATGAAGTTTTCTAGACCTTTCTAGACCATACTATACCATTTTTTTTAATTAAATAAAACATGACTTTTGGCTGATTCAAAAATAGTTTGACATTCCAGTCTTCAAATTTATGACAACGGTATGAGTTGTTTTTCTTGAAAGACAAAGAAGGAAAAAAACTGAAGTTTAACGCCGAATCTAAGTTATTTCATGAAGAAATATATCGAGAGATTTCATAATTTGCCGAATAGTATACTAGTACAGCTAAGAGCACAAAAAAAGGCATAAATTTTCAAACGCGTTTAAAAGTCATTCAAAGGACTTAAAGGGCTTAAAGTACTCGCACCTGTTTCTCTACAGAAAACGATGTCGACAAACTCAAGGCTGTCATTTTCCTCCAATCAGGTGAGCTGTCATACACCGGTTACCTAGCAACCAATTCCCCATAGATATGCCACGAAATGTTTGACCATCAAACATTTTCAAATGATGTAAAATTTTTCTGTAAAAAATGGTATTTGAGTGTACTTGAAATTAATTTACCACCTCATCGCTTATAAATAGTTTACCGCGGGTACTTGGCCCGCAGAAGAGTTCAACTGATGAAAGAACGATCCAGTGGACAGGAAACAACAGTCATCTTCTTTCTACAACAGGCCAGTAGAAACATAAAGGTTTCTTGACAATGAAAGCCGCGCAGATTCAAGTGTTTCAATAAAAATCGCTTACAAGTGGCTTATATCGCCACATCTTGCCGTTAAAAACAGTCGGTTGAAGAACCTTCTGAAGGTTCAATTATTTTAAAAAGAGAAAAATTCTGGGACTTAAACGCTTTGAATGTGATTACTGCCCTGGTTTCATGAACTTACCTGGAAAAGGTGTTTTTCTCCATCATCTGAACTACAGTTTCACAGCTGTTACACCGTTTACATACGTTGCAACATACACAATCCTCTTCATAGATAAAAATTATATGTGGGTGTGTAGGATTCTATGCGTTATGTTGAAGAGTTTTTGTGGTTACGGCGTCAAGCCATCTTTAATCTAACATTCATAAGTTAGTAACTCAAACTTCTTTTGCATCGGATCGCTTTTAGCAAACCGTGGGCTAAGAATTTTATGGAGTTTCTCGCATTTTCATTTTAGGTGGAAAATTCATCTGAGCACATGTTTAACTGTCAAAAAAACACAAGGAAACTTCTTAAAGGTGTGTTTTCTTTTCGACTTTTCGACATCTTTTAAACACCATTTTGGCTGGGTCCTTTAAACATTTTAGTCGCTTGATAGTTGGCACATATTCAGTTGGATATATCAACAAAGTTGAAATGGTAAATTGGCCACCGTAATGATTACAAAAGCTGACGTTTCGAGCGTTAGCCCTTCGTCGGAGCGAACGAAGACCTGTTTTAAACAGGCTTTTACTATTTTGAAGCCAGTCATGCATTCGAGTTCAGTTTTCAGGCAAACTCCCTGGGGAATTACTAGTCTTTCAGGGCCCAGTTATATAAAGGACGGATCGATAACGCTATCCGACGGATAAATCACTATCCGGACGGATAAATCACTATCCGACGGATAAATCACTATCCGACGGATAAATCACTATCCAGAGGGATAAGTGATAGCAAAGCGTGCAGCGTTATCCACCGGATAGAGTTTTGTCCAATGGATAGCGCTATCCAACCTTTGAACAGCCGGGGCCAGGAAGGTATTTCTAACTCGTTTGCTTACCATCTTTTAAAAATAAGTAACTTTGAGCAGTAACTGTTTGGTTCTTATGTAAATGGCTTAAAGGAAACGGAAGAGGACTGCAACGTGGAATACGGTTTGGGAAAGACGTCTGCTGATAATTTGAGGACAATTTTAGTTTAAATTGAAAAATTAGGGCGTTTGGTGAGTTTGAGGTTGAGGCAAGCTTTCTGGCCGGCACAAGCGTCTCTTTTACAGTGGGAAAGTATGAAGCCTCATTATTAGTACCAGACCTCGGCAAACCTCTCCCCAACTCGTCTACAATTGGCGAAAGAACGCGCGTCTTGTAACAACTTGTAACGTTCTCGACCAAGTTTATAAACTGACGTTCCCGTCCTCTTGCTAAATCTCTGTATAAAAGAGGCCCCGCCTGCAGGCTAAATGAAAGTGAAAAATAAAACTCTTGTTGATTCTTCAACTGAGAGACCTCAAAACTTGAAACCGAGACCGTTTAGGGACAAATTAAAAGTTTAAAGTGACCTTATATTTCAACCTGACAGACAAACTTACTTGTTTTGTTTATCATATTTTTGGTTTCGGCAGCTTAGATACTATCACGGACCTTAAAGAGCGATATCCCAGATGCTGAATTTCATGTGTAAATATACTGTCAAGGATCATGGTGATATTTCGTGGGGGATGTCAAACTGACATGCATGAACTGCAAGAAAACTGAAGCAGAAACGTAACCTGTCTTCCCTCTCTCTATTTCCGTGCAACGTATCTGTAAGATATAGGGATGTAATTTCTAGTAATGTTTCCAGAACATAACTAAGCCTATTACACTGCTTTACAATCTAGCATTTTTTTTTTATTTAAGGGCCGGTCATTTTTTTCAGTTGCATACATCTGGTGTATCGAAAAAGCTTTACCACTCCTAAATTTTGACCTCCAAAGTAAGAGATAGCTTAAACTTCTCTAAGCAAATTAGAATACTTCGTCAAATTTAGAAGCAGACAGGTTTTAGAATTCTACACCTATCCTGTCCCTTTGAGACCCCTCCCTCCATATCTACAGCCCTAATTTCTATGAACTCACCTTTCCCTTAAAAGAGCTCCCTCGCAAAAAAGCCACGTTGTGGAGATGTTTATTCAAGCTAGGTAGAAATTTCAGTCCAAAATAAACTTGTATTTGAAAGCTTGGTTAAGTTCTTATTTCAAATATTATGGATTTCTCAACTAGAGAGATGATTCTTATTCTCTTTAACCCCTGAGAGTGACTCACATGTGCTTCTTCTTAATAATAATAATAATAATAATAATAATAATAAATATTATTAAAAACTGGATCATTGGATAATGCAATTCAAGACTTTTTATTGGCTTAGCCATTATGGTATATTAGCCAATATACCATAATCTACAAATATGGTAAGCGTGCGCGTCAGCTTAAAATCAAAAGGGAGCTAAAAAATCTGGTTTCTTCTTACAAAATAATAATTTCTTGGGGGCGTTTTTAATAAAACAATTATTCCACTCGCGCTTGTTGGATATGAGATGATTATAGCCAACTCGGCGCTACGCGCCTCGTTGGCTATCTATCATCTCATATCCAACGTGCGCTCGTGGAATAATTGTTAAATATAAAGTCAATGTACACAATTTACTCTTGTGTGACCTGATTTTGATTGTGAATAATTATTTGGACTTGTTTTCTCCTCAGAAGATTCACAACATTTAACCTTCTTGGAGAAAACTCAAAATGCATAATCCTTTTTAAAACTTAATAGTTACTTTTTTTAAACCTATTCACTAGATCCTGAATCTTTCTTCTTAACCCTTTAACTCTGATTAGTGACCAAGACAGAATTTCTTCTCACAACAGTAATACCATATCAAGTAGACAAGTGACGAGAATACAAAAAATATCAATTAGGGGATTATTTTAAGATCCAATACCAAATTCTCCAAACTAATATGATAAGAATAGTATAGCAGACAGTAAGGAGAATTACTAAATGAGATCTCAGGAGTGAAAGACAATGATGTGGACCGAAGGCTTCAGTCCTTCTGTAAGTTTAGGTAGTCTGTACAAGATTCTTCTTAGAAACTCTTTGGAAGAATGATCAGTGTGAGGACATCAAATAAACAAACAACAAAATACCAACAAAGACAAATACGACCATTGTCATCAAATGTGATACCAGTGTACAATGCATTCCTTGATTGACATCTGACACAAATGCCCCCATTTGCCAATTAACATATTTCTGTAAATTACTAGTTGGACAAAGACAACGGCAGTTATAGCTTCCCCGAGAAAATTTGTATGTCCTTGACTCCATTTCGCATGGGTGGCACAGTCGTCCATGCATGTCCCTGACTCCTGGTAAAACGTTTGCCTTATTTCTATTGAGATAGCGCCGCTCTCGAGCACGTTTCCAGGGAGGAAACTGATCAGGTTTATATTTACTGCTTGCACCAGGATCAGCACTGGAACCAAGATCATTATCCCCAACATGCCAGATACGACTTATGGTAGGTGAAACAATCCTGAAAATAGTTGAATTTCTATTGTACAGTAGCATTAAACCTAGGTAAAGGGGCCAGTCTCCCTCAGCATGTCCTAAAGCATCGTCCTGAAATGTCTTGATGTACTCCCACATAGATGAGTTAAATGAATAACCAATGCTTTGAACAAGTGGTACCTCACTCACAACAAAGGCATCTGGTTGATGATCTACTAAATTCTCCTCTCCAACTCCTTGGAGTGTGCTAAAGTGGATGTTGGGGACAGAGTTTTTGACGAGGAGAGAGTACCACATCACCTCCATAAAATCTGCCGCAACAACTAAGTCATCTTCAACGAACAGTACATCTCCACTAAATGTTTCATTGTGCTTTAACTGAAAGGCATCTGAAGTGAATAACAGCTGTTATAATTTTGTAATAAATGTCATTTGTAACTTTAAAATTATTGGTATAAAATGCCTTTCAGAACCCTGGGCTTACATTAATGATGAAGATTACACTAATAAAGGGCAAGGCTTCATGCAGGTAATATAATATTTTGGGCTTCAAAACACAGTGATGCACCAGTGTTTTCAGTTTTTCATTACTTCCCACTCAGCATTGGTAGTGTGTCGGCTGACGTGCCTGTCAAAACGTTGGCTGATGTGTTGGTGATGTGACAGCCAACATGTCAGTCAACATTTATATGGCTGACACATTGGTAAGATAGCATTTGCTACCTTACCCACTAAAAATGAAATGAAATTCCAAATTACCAAACGAGAAGTAACTTCAGGTTGACACTCTTAAACAGAGAAAATTTTATATCTGTAACAAGCGATGGAAGTGATCTTCAGGTCCCCTAAAATATTACACTGATATTACTTTTTGAGTGGAGTTAATCATATGAGCTTAGTCTGCTATTCCACTGCAGGTCAACCCTAGCATTTCTTCAGATTCCTGGATAAACTCCAGCTGGATGGGCATTAAATCAAGAAAAAACAACACTGTAGGCTTGCATTTATTATAAACAAAGATAAGTAAATTTGTCACCTTACCATGTTCATCAAATACTTTTTTCATAGTATTCCACCAATGAGCCTTTAAGACTTCTGGGCTACGTTCTTCCTCCTCATTTCCAAATGTCCACACAAGTTTTCTACAAAATGTGATTTTACCAAGGACCTTGTATGTCTCATTTATATCGTCCATTGTTGAGGCCTTGGTATGATGAAGAATGAACAAACATGGCGTGGAGGGAACAATACTACCGGAGGAAGAAATTGACTCCAACGTCCTTTCCAAATACTTTGGTCTGTAGGAGCTAAAAATAACCAGAGGAACAAAAGGGGCTTGGAAATTCCGAGGAAAAACAACATTGAATTCCTGTGGCCATATGTCCCCACGTTGTCCGAAAAGAGCAGGAATTGCTAACCACAGTTGTACCAAGATGACAACCGCAAATATAAATGTTCTTTTAAATGATCGGCATCTGAACGTTCTCCTTAGAATCAGTGTCAAAGCCATGGTGAGTCAGTTATCCCGTATAATTCCACCGCTTGAGATAGCTTTTAAGAAATTTTATCTATAAATCACGGTACTGTAATTCTCGAACAAGCCAAGGTGACGTGTCAGTACAAACTTCGATGTATTTTGAACCATGTTCTGGCGAATAAATTTACCCATCCTATCTTTGAGGATTCAAAGAAGACACTTGAGAATATAATGTTCCATCGAAAACAAACAGAAGACCGCTGTGAACTTTGAAAAAAACTTGGAGGCTGTCTGAGAATGTGCACCCAGCGAACAGTGTAATTCTAAAGCGGCCATCCATCGATCGACTGGGGAGGGGTAAGGAACAAATTAATTGTTACGTATGATGCACGATCCTCTCAGTATCTGTAACCGCAGTTCAAAATATATGAACTTCACATATTCATCGTAACCAAATTGATTGTTAACGCTAATTTTGACAGAAGGGACAACAAACAAAACAGAACAAAAGATATAAGACCCTTTACGCTTGGGGAATCTCGACGGGGGTATACATAGTCTAAAATCCTGTATAATCCATCTCTTTCTGGAGTTTCGAATTACTCTGGGGGTACTGGTCAGGATAAAAATTCATACCGCCGTCACTTACGCCTAGACCATCGTTCATCTCCAAATTTTCTCCTCTTTGCCATTTATTTACGTAGTTCTGTACTTGATTCGCACTTCTGTACTTGACTTGCTTTTAAAATTCCGAAAATAGGTATATGAGAGGTTTTCTAAAGGGGATAAGGAAGTAACCTTGTTACAAGCGCTCAACATGCCGAGTATAATTCTTTCCCGGTTCTCAGTCAGTAAACACATGCAAAACAGCACTGATGACAGGTAGTCTCGAGTTAGATGGCTTTATTAATACAGGCATTTTTACATTTACATGGAACCTTCCTTGATAAATACGCACACAGCGAGTGAAACTCGAACTTACATGTACATAAATTATCGCATTATATTGTCTTGCTGTTGGTGAATAATCCAGTTATCGTCAGCTAATAGAAATAACATTGGCGAAAAGAACTTCAGTTTGGTAACCAGTTCAGCCAAGCTAAAAATTCAGGGAATGAAATTTTCCCATCGCCGGTTGTATCCAATGCTCGGAGTGCCGCGTCTGAGTCGTGGCGGTAGTTAACAGCCTTCAGCAAGAGTTTCAATTCGTCTTTATCGATGGTGCCATTGCCGTCTTTGTCATACTTCTTGAATTCGTCCACAGCTTTACTGATATAGTAGCATCTTGACTTGTCATTAACGCATTCCAATCCCTTTTCGTCTCGAAACCAAGAGAAAAACTCCTCAAACGAGATGCTCCCTCCACCATCTTTGTCAACAAGCAAGTAACAGGCTTCAGCTTGTTTGTTATCCATTCCCAGGTCGTCTTTAAGAAGGCATAGGGCTTCCTTTTTACTGAGATGACCATTTTCATCTGTGTCATACTTTTTAAACAAACTTTGCACAACAATCTTGGGTACGGAGGCACTGAAGTAAGACTTACCAGCCATGACGGAAACCTCTCCAAATATCGTCCGTCATCGATGATTTCACAATTACTTTGCAATATATCATACTCCTTTGGGAGTTTGGGGAATTAATGAATATGAAACAATACAAATTAACGTTTTCTGCTGACATTTAAACAACGTGATGTAGGTCACGTCTAGTGTTACGTTACTCTATCTTATGAATGGAAAGGCCACTCACACAAGGTAAACCGTGGCGTAGTGTAACAACTTGAGCTCTGAACTGGTGGAAGGTGGGGACCGGGTAGATCGTTGAATCTAAGGGATCATTGCTTGATCATTTAGAACGCTGGTTGGTTAGCTTTAACTGTGCCATGATTGTACGTCTTTGCTTACCCCTTAATATTTTGTAAATTTTGCTTACATGTGCATGCAACAGTTGTCTAGAGCGTTATCACATGACCTGAGGAGCCGAATAACCAAAAGTCTACTGTGTTTGTTTGGTTTGACCCCTTAGTGACTAGCATCTAATTTCTCCATACAATATCACCCCTGAATCACACCTAAGGTCAGAAGAATAAAGGAAAAGATCACAGACTTAAAAAGCCCCACACTCCATGTCAGCACTTAGGGAGATGTAAAGAGAACAGTATGGACAATATGCACACTAATGTTAGGGCGAAAAGCGGTTTTAAAAAAACCGGTTAGTGTCAGACTCTTAACAGACAAATACACTTCCTCTTCTATTAGATTACCCATCACTTGCAGGGTTAGTATCACCCGTGCTGGAATAGATTTTGACGAACAGGAGATCAATCTTTGATCTTCTTTGTTTGGAAAATAAAACAGGAATAATAGAAACTGAAAAAAGAACGCACAACTTCAGTTTCACACTTTTAATCATTCTTTGTAAGGTACACGTTTTAAAAAGATTTGGCGTAGACACCTACTGATCAAACCATTCATTGATACATTACAATGAAAAATAAAGCCCTTGTTATTCAACACGTACGCAAAACTCCAAAATTCTAAACCGTTACTGTTACTCCGACAGCAAGGCTGGATTAGTTAACGTTTTCTAACACTGAATCAATCAATAAACAAATTACAAACTGTCTCAAACGTCCAGAAGTTTTGTTTAGAATACGACGAACTTCGCCACTCTTTGCAACGCTCAGTCAAATACCCAAATCTTACATCCAAAACGGATGTTTAAAGGTTCAAATCAAAAGGAAAACGAAACACAATGAACTACATTAATATGGCGGGTAAATAACCTTTTTAAATTTTAATAACATGGTGGGAACAAGTGGTAGGCCCGCAAAGCATNTTCAGCCAAGCTAAAAATTCAGGGAATGAAATTTTCCCATCGCCGTTTGTATCCAATGCTCGGAGTGCCGCGTCTGAGTCGTGGCGGTAGTTAACAGCCTTCAGCAAGAGTTTCAATTCGTCTTTATCGATGGTGCCATTGCCGTCTTTGTCATACTTCTTGAATTCGTCCACAGCTTTACTGATATAGTAGCATCTTGACTTGTCATCAACCCATTCTAAGCCCTTTTCGTCTCGAAACCAAGAGAAAAACTCCTCAAACGAGATGCTCCCCCCACCATCTTTGTCAACAAGCATGAAAGTGGCTTCAGCTTGTTTGTTGTCCATTCCCAGGTCGTCCTTAAGAAGGGACAGGGCTTCCTTTTTACTAAGATGACCATTTTCATCTGTGTCATACTTTTTAAACAAACTTTGCACAACAATCTTTGGTACGGAGGCACTGAAGTAAGACTTACCAGCCATGACGCAAACCTCTCCAAATAGCGTCCGTAATCAATGATTTCACAATTACTTTGCAATATATATTATATTCCTTTGGGAGTTTTGGGAATAATGAATATATGAAACAATACAAATTAACGTTTTCGGCTCACATAACCTTAAGCAAACCACGACGACGACGGCAACGAGGACGTGACAAAACAAAAGATTTAATGAGCAGAACAATAGTTTAGCACCTGCATTTTAAAACTTTGTAGATTTCTCAGCCGTCCTCTGCAAAACAACAACGTGGAATCACCAAAATTTACGTGGTCTAAAAACGGAAAGCCCGACTGCAGATCATTCAAGTTTCCATTTGGAACTCAACGTTGCTCACATACGTTAAGTTGGAATTGAGGTGTGGCGCCATGAGACGGTAAACACATCCAGCCATTCGCGAAATTCTAACTAAAAATAAAAATTCATTTTTAGATCGACGTCTTCTTCAGCGTTGCCGTCCTGACTGCTTAAGGTCCTTATTTAAACTGCGTGACGGAGGTCACGTCCAGTGTTACGTCCAGTGTCACGTCCAGTGTCACGTCCAGTGTTTGAATGTGGAACTAATGAATGTTTATGATTGGCTAGCCTCAATTTTGTCATCTTCATGATCCCAGCCAGAAATGACTTAATTTCATTTCATTTTCCTGGAGCGTAAAGACAATGTGAAATATCTGGAAACATCATATCAGTCATATTGCATCAAAAATAAGTAAAGGCATTGTTATAATTTGTAGACTAAGGCATGTTGTACCATATTTGACATTACTAAATATGTATAGATTACTCAATCCTTATTTATCATATGGCCTTGTCGCCTGGGGCCAAGCAGCTAAATCTCATATGGAAAAAATATTGATACTCCAGAAAAGGGTTGTGCAATTAATGAACTTTGCCAACTATAATTCACACGCCATTCCTTTTTTACATCGGTTAACATTATGCCAATTAATATGCTCTACGTTAATACATGATGTCCATAACCATTAACCCC